ACATAGCGCTGTCATCCAGGCACCGAGTCCTTTGAGCTCCTAGTGCTGCAGAGGTGCCTTGCCTTCCATTTAGCTTCATCATTTGGGTAGAATTTGTAATAGCACATTGCTTTTTGCCTTTGCAGTTTGGGAACGTCAGACAAACAGTCGTTTAAACACAGTTCAAGAGTCTCTTAACCTCACCGTAATTTCCTGTCTATCAACTTTACCTGCTGCTTTTAAGGACAAACTGTCTATAGCAGTTTTAACAGAAGGATGTGAGGGAAATCCACATGTATTTGGAAGATCTCATTAGACCCTTGACGACACCGGCAATTTTAAAGCCTTGTGCAACTGGAAAGAGGATGATTCGTACTTGACATGCTGGTCACATTGCTTAATATGTTCTGGGAAAGTACTCATACTCTAGCCATGAAATTGTACATAGCTGGGGATTATCACTAAATGCATAAAAAAATAAAGGAATGAGCAGTTGCACATTTTTCTTTGTGTACTCAGAAAACTTCAGAGCTTTTTTAAAGGCTTCTCACTTCCCCCTCCTTTTCTTCTCTCTTACTCAGAACCAGTGATGACTACATATGCATCAAGAAGACTGCATGACCACAAACATTACCAGCACCAGTCTTACGGCAACCAGGCATTCTGAAGAGGTGAAAGCAGTAAAAAGCATTCCTCCATCAAACTGGACACCAAGATATTAACGTCTGGCCTGTTAACACACCATGACTCCCAACCATCCAGTGAAGCCTCCTGTACATCCTGCTTTCACCAGGTTTGCTGCTTGTGAAGTCTTCCCATACGTAGATGGTTGTGTTGAGAGACAGAGCTCAGACTAGATAGCTTTAACAAAAACTTCCAAGCTGGCAATACAGCAAGTTATTATTTTTCAGAAGTAATTGTCAGCAAATTGCTATAGCTCGTACCGCGAGCTCTGCAATGTCCAGGGAACGGTGTGGACCACCACAGAGCTGCCTGCCAACATACACTAGAGCAAGAATGCAGTACTACAGCACGCAACTTAAGTGCTACAGCCCACTTGCACCATCCCACTCAAATCCACGCGTGCTAGAGACAATACTTACGATTGGCACTTATTCATAGCTTTTAATACTGTTGGACTAGAATTTAGATGTTTTAGATCAGGTTTAAACATGCCTTGGAAGAGCTGTTCCTGCAGACCTCTGAAGACCTATGCCACCTTTACGGATTCAGAAGGCTTACTCATTAATTCAAAAAAAGAAATGGCACAAAGGTCCAAAGGAGTCAACAAGGAACTTGATAGCGAAAATCCTAGAGATTAGGAACTACTCAGGCAGGCGCCTGGGCTGCTACTAGGTCTTAAAAGATTCATTTCACAGTGGCTTTTATTAAATCTTTAGGAAAAAAGCCTGGGGAATCAACACCTTCTAGAAGATATTATCAGCAATGCTAATTTAAATATGCACAGAAAGCTGAATGCTGTATGAATAAAGCCTAAACTTTTAAAAAACAGCATTAAAGAGAAGAAGATATTCAGCTACAGAGTTCTCACTCACACTTAAGTCAGTAAAACTCATTTTTGCCCCAATTAGTCAGAATGACTGAAGCACATATTTTGTAATAAAAAGTTTCAGGCTGCTTTTTGGAACTGAAAAAAAAATCTGTCCCAGTTAAGTGCAGCCTGGTATGTGGATTACTTTTAAATCCATGCATTTTATGCATGACTATTTAGATATGACAAAAGAAAGTGGGTGACTTCCTAGCAACTAGGGCATAGATACAAAGCTTCTGCATGTTAGTATTTGAGGATGTGATTGGTAAAAATCGTGAAAATACTTAAGGACAGCTTTGCTATGACTTAGATATTACGTAAAAAAAAAAAGATTACTAGGCAACTCAGATCCAATTGGGGTACAAGTTTTTTTTTAAACTGTAAAATTGTACAATAATAGCTAAGTGTAAACCAAAAGCTTTGATCCTTTAAAGCTTCACAATTTAACTCAATATATTCAACAGAAAATTATATTGATACAGTACTTCATGTTCTTAGCAAACATTTACGCTTCATGAAAGCTACCCTAGACCATCTCTAGTTGGAAGATTCTCATTTCTCACCAGTTTAAAGCTGAGTTTGGAAATTTTTTAAATGTTCACCTGTTTTCAGGAGTCTTTAGATGTTAAACAGGATATACAAAGGAATTGCTTTCTAAATGAACATTCCTACTAGTGTAACCACTGCAATCTGGTTTTGCTGTGAGCACATCACTAGCATGCATCTAGTAACCAAAGAGGTAAGCACAGTTAAAAAGTACAAAACTTTGGCAAGTTAAAAAACAAAACAAAGAAACAACTACATGCACACACAGATCAGGGAGAAGTGCTTTAACAGTCCCCATCCAGGAATCACTGTACTTGCATCTCTACAGCTTGATATAAGAATACCTTCTTCCATATTTTACTAGGAAAACTGCAGTGTAAAGTTAATCATATCTTCAGTGACTCCGGGGAAAAATCCCTGCTGTCAAAAAATTCACCTTTTTTGGAGGATGGATGACTGCAGAGTTAATGCTTATTGTCAATTAGCTGTGAGTATCTATTTAAAGTCCCCGTTTAAACATGGAATTCAGTTTTTATACCTACTATAATGTAATTATGTTTTGCAATATTTTATAATTTTAAAAAGTCTTCCAGAATCCAGAGTTTAGTTTTTCAATGTTTATTATGAATCACATTCACAGTGCCATACAAATTACATAAAAAGCTATACAACAAACATACAAAGACTACATGAAGCATGTACCATTCTGTAACGCATACAATACCTGATGCTTAGGCTAAGAAGTGTTCTTAACACCTGTTAGCAAGAAACTGAAGTCAAAAGATAAATAATTGGATTGAGAAACTCCTTCATTATTTAGTTTTTTTTAATTAAAAACGTTTTATGTTGGTAAGCAGGCTATCAATGTAAAAAAAAAAGCAACACTGCTCTCTTCCCATGTACAAAAGTTTTTCCACTGTTTCAAGCCTGGATTAATTTTCAATTAATCATCCTGTCCTCCAGCAAAAGCAGTCACAGAATCAATTTAGCACTCTGTTTCCAGAGCAGGTTGATGATGCAAAAATTAAACTATAAACATACATATAATCATGTGTCAGCATATAAGTTTGGAAATATTATATGTAAAAGTTTAGAGACCAAGATGGTCCAGTATATGCACTGCTTAGATAAATTACACAATGACAGTTCTAAAGTACATTACACAATTTTAATGTACTGTCCATACCAGAAAAATACATTTACTGTATGTGTCTAGAATAATTCCTGCAAATGTTCATGGACAAGTTGCCCTAGTACTTTGGAGACCGATCTAAGATTTTTAGCTGTTTTCACAGCCTCTCCTCACACGTTATAGAAAAAAAAATCCTGGCTGACTAAGTGCAAATAAGTGGTAATTTCTACTACCAGTCAGATTCTGGTGGCAGTTTGATTTTATTTCACTTTGTCAAATAAAACAAAAAACAAAAAAACATTTCACAAAAGTGACATTTTTCTTACCTTCAGTACACCAATGGTTTAGTATCTTCAGGAGATATTCTTCCTTATTTAATCTATGCATAACTTTGACAAGAGGTCCTAAGGACATATTCTTGATATATAGTTTAAACTAAGGGCAAGCATTTGCCTAGTAGCAAAAAAGTGACAGCTCAGAACATCACTCGGGTGATTCGTAATTCGACAGAATTACGAATTTCAGGAGAACAGATTCTTTCATGTGCTAATTCTAAAAAATTAGAAAGAGATGTGTTTGTTGCCACCCACTTCTGGAGCTCCAGAGCTGTGAATCTGATGAATCGAGACTCATTTTCAGTTAAGATGCACAAGATCTTCCCTTTTGACAGATGACCATAATGAGGAAATTACTGCTTTAGCACCTCAACACAGCCCCAGTGCGTTCAATGGATTGTACAGGCTACATAAATTGGCAAGCCACAATTTTAATTAAGAAACTTGGTTTTGTGCGTCTGCACGCACAATCTGTTCAAGTATTACAGAGGGCTTGTAAATCTGGACATAAGCTTTAAGTTCATGTAGAAAAATCAGTAAGGATGTAATATGAAAAAATACATCAATCATGTATTTAATATCCATATAGATTTGCAGTCTAATATGCTCTATACAGCAATAAGTATCCTTACTGATCACTATTCAAATGCATCTCCCAAAATGCTAGTAGCACTTCTTCGGTCTGTTTTTAGAGTTAATCCAAAATAAACCCTACAGCAGTGTGTAGTACTTTACAGCCAAATTTTCAGTACTGCTACTGAGTGTAAAACCCTTCTCCTGGGGTCTAGCGAGGAAGAGCTTTTTTAATGCCATCAGAGCCCTTCTCTGACTCCTGGTTGCTGTATGTCCCTTCTAGCAAACAAAACGGTGCCAGAGACTCATTGCTCCGAGTCCAAGGGAACCTCACGTATATCCCATACATGACTTGGAAATACCGGAGGCAGCTTTATTGCCAGAGACCCCCGAGTAGACCTTGGAGCATCTTCAGCAGAGCACTCGTGCTCAGAATTCACCTCGAAGCAGAAAAGCCTGGCAAGTGCTCACTTACCAGAATGCTGTTATGACAACTCTCAGCATAAATGCTGCTGCAAACAACTTTACTCAAAAAAGATGCTGAAGCGGAATAAGCCAGATGCACATTTTATAAGTCACGCACTGCTTCTGAAAGCATGCTATAAGGAGAATTCATTTCAGACTAGGCTTTCAGAAAAAGTCAACGACTACAGCTTCCTCCCCGGCCCCCAGTGAAGACAAATTTGCACGTGGGAAAGTTTTGAACAGCGAGTTTCACACAAATGCACTTTCTAAACAATGTGTCTGAGTTAAAGATAACAATTACTACTGCATCAAATTTGGATCAGCATTGCACTTTTCAAATACGTCTTATCATTAGTTGTTGACAAGAAACATTCAAGTGTCAATAGAAGTTTACAAATCACTGTAAAAAGTTAGTAGAAAACCTCCATTATTTCTGGAGTTGAAATGCAAGTTTGAAACACAACGCGGGTGGGGAGCTATGCCATTTACTCCAGTTCAGGTAATATGGTATTAAAACCACCAATAGCTTTATAAAAGGGTTATATGAGAAATACAAAACCAAATGACAAAACTTCTCAGATACTACCGCAATATTCAAGCTAAGTGACATCCAAGTGCCGAGACAAACCGTACGTGAACACCTTCGTGTTAAACTTCACATTCCCATCTGCATGTCAGCAAAGTTGTAGAAATTGTCTACATCTTGAGGTGCTGATGCCTTGCTCTCCGATACAAAAACCTGTGTTATTAAACAAGGAAATAGTTATGCATCACTAATAAAGAAACTCAAGTAGTCTCTGCTCATTTGAAGCCAGTAATGGTTATTTTTATTTCTGCATTTCATAAGAGGCACAACTCTGTTGGTTTCCACTGTGTGTTAGAATAGTCCTAAAATTTTCTCAGCCCTGATGCACCCTTTGTTACCATCACCTGTTCCTAGCAGATATGCTAGCTGCAGTAACCCTAGCCTTCCACTGATGGGAATTCAAAGTTTTGGGCTCAAGTATTCAGGGGTCACAGCTTCAGCTACTGTCCATTTAGATGTATTTTGCTTGGTAAAGTCAAACTCTGTCCAGGAGAAGGGCAGGAAACAAACACACAAAAACCTTAGACTACCATTAAACTTTAACAGAAAGGCAGAGTTTGTAAGAAAGAGTCTCTTGCACAATATTCCCCTCAAAAAACTTAGTTGCTTCTTCATCAGATGATTTTTTTGTTTAAGTAACTTCAATTACATTTGCATTTTGCAAAATTGATCAACGCATGTGAAGTCCAAGTTCTAGGACAGTCATCTTTGAAAGCTTTCAGCAGATCAACTACAAATGCCTTAGGCAATGCCCAAATATTTCAGTGTAACAGACAAAGCGTTGTGGCTGTTCATCAATCTCAACATGCAAGTGATAGCCTCAATCAAAAACTTCAACTGAGTTCTTACTATCTTATATTTTTTATACCTCAAAAGGAAATCATCACTGTCTTAGAACATCAGTGTTGGCACAGCCAACTGAGCTATTCCGATGTGCAGTGGGACTGTAGAAATGGGTTATTCCATATGACTGCTCCTACAGTCACCACTTCTCTGCTTCAGCTCAGAATACCATGTGAATGTAAACTATGACAGTTCCTTGAATTGGTTTACTTGAACTATGCTTTAAGATTAATATCCTGTTGTCCAGTAAATTTCTAATTTAAAAAAAAAAAGATTGAATCATCACAAAGTAGCTTCCTAGACTGTTGCTTGGATGCACGGTAGACTTCTGTTTGAAGGGACTTGAGAACATCTACTAATTATTTGGCAGTAGTTTGGTGCAACAGCAATTGGTACCACGGTCACAACAGTTGAACACCTTCCTTCAGCATCCTCCTCTACCAGGATAATACAATTTATATTTTGCAGAGTATTTTATGAATAAATGATGAGACGGAGGAACAATACTGGAAAGCATGCCAAAAAAAGTGCAGGAGGTCACACCAGAAAGAATGTCAGAGTTAAAGAGTTTAGACATACCCAGTCCATACAAATAGGAAGCCCACTTAAGTGCACAGCGCAGAGCTCTCCTTGTAACACGTTGTTTCTACCAAAGAGCTCAAATTGCTGAAGAATTTTTCTACCCTTACTAGAGTATCTAGAGTTGTTTATCAAATTTGTTTCAGAAACAAAAACCTGGTGAAATTAAGGTTATTAATGGATGAATTTAATAATTTTTAACTGTGGTTTTCAAATGCAAATGTAGCCACCTGCTTAAAAGCAGATTAATCTCCTGCAAAGTTTTACAGGATACATGTCTTCCTAAGAGCTTTTGTCATTGTTTCTTGATCAAGGATACCTATCATTCTTTGAGCGCTATAACAACTCTCAAACACAATAAGGGCAGCCAACAACGAGGTGAAACCATTTTATAGAGCATTCCTGAACCTTAGAATTAACTCTGAAGTTTGTTACTCCCTAAATTACTTCTAAATTATGTCCCAAGAAAGAAATACATTTTCTAAAAAATATGTACTCATATTGAATTATCTAGGGATCCATGCACAAATGCAGTGTTTATCAGAAGTTTTGGAGTTACATTTTGGCTAAATAAAAATACATACTTCTCAGGAAGCCCAAGGTTCTGCTTCTTAATTCGGTGCAGCAAGTATTTATTAAGTGAGGTAGATTTTACCATGGAACCAGGCTGTAAACGTAAGTTTTAAATCCAGATGCAGTAAGTAATCACACATTTGGAACTGAACCCAAACACTACAGATCACCTTCAAGAACAATGCTTACTTCACAGCATGAAGTGCACAGTCTGAGGTTTCTGGATGCATCTCAGATCAGGGCATTCATAGTGTTGTAACAACAGACACCAGTCATTTTAGTGAGGAAAATATTAATTGTTAGAACAAATAAAGTTTTACACCACTTCAGCCTTTGAATAGAGAAAGAGATCTAGAAGAACCTACCCAGTATCAGCTTTGTTCTGTATGAAAAAAAAAAATATGCTAACCACACTAAAAACAGCCACTGTAAGCTCCTGCTTAAAGAGGCCATTTGTATGGTAAAATTTGCAGTGATGACTTTTGCATCACAAAAAAGAATCAGTAGTATCACAACACTGCCCAGACTGTAGTTCTAGTATTCTCCAGACTCAGAGAGCCAAATTAAGGCCCGCCACACATTAGGTTTTTGCTGGTGCAATAGCAAACATGAGCAAAGCAAACATTAGCTGCATTTGAGATGACTTATTACAAGACGACTGTTTTCGAGAAACTGAGCAATCTAGTTCCAAGTAACTCTTTCGAAAGGAACTGAAAGACAGCAAGGAGCTGTATGGACACTATGCCTCAAAGCCATTCTAGTCATCTTTGAGCAGCTGCTTGAAAGCAAAGGGTTTGTCACTTTCTTGTTATCAGGAGCACTCGAATTGTTTCCAGAAACTTTCTCAAAACCATTGCCATTCAGAGAAACGGGGACAGCAAGCGAAGAGGAGGTGCGGTTTAAAGAAGCTACAGCAAAACAAGCTGACAGAAGAAAAAAGAAAAATGCCTTTGAAGGAAGGTATTCTGCAATATCCTACACAGCAAAAGTAAACACTGAAAAAAGTTGAATACCATCGTATTATCTTTGTCAGGGTTTAATAGGCTAGGACATCACAAAGCAGACTTCAGTATAAGACTTGGAGCAGAGCTTTTCCCTACCATACTTACAGAACTTGTTTTTACTACTATGCGAAATAACAGTTTTAAGTGGAAATCTTCTGTTCTTCAATGGATATGGGGATTCAGTACATTTTTTCCTAGGGCAATTTTTCTTGTCTCCGACAAGCAACTTGAGTTTTGAATACAAAAAACCAAAACAACAAAAAAATAGGATAGTCAGATTTTACTATTCAGAAACCTAAAAAGATCGTGCAGCATATCAACGCTACAGCTTGACCATGAAATATCTCAGACGTTCTGTAACATTTTCTGCCAATAAAGCAATACACCAGCTTACCTTGGTTCCACTAAAAACTTCATTTATAGTGCTTTGACATCCTTCCACAGCACCATCTCCATTGAACTCCAAAGCAACCACTGGACCTAGAAGACAGTTTCATCTAGAATCAATACTGCTTTTAAGCTTGGCATTGAAACAGTAGATTTCTCAACCCATAGGGAATTGTGAAGCTTGCAAGAAGCATTTTATGGTTTTTCCTTGAGCAGCCATAATGCAGGATAACGAATTAAAAACACTTAACCATAGCTTCAAAGTGCAGTGTTATCTGAGAAGAAAATATCTGCAATTCCACGCTCATTTTTGCAAAGACTTTGGCAGGATTTCAGTTTTACTTCTTGAAAGGCAGCAATAGCACAAAAACACTAAGGAGCGCAGGGCATCATGGAAGTGAGTCAGACTACACTGCTCAAATAGTGAGCCATTTCACAGACATCTGGAGTAGGACTGAGTCATTCAGGCATTTTTGCCTCAGTCCCAAGATAGCAAACTGCCTGATTTTTAGACTTGTTCTCACCCACTATTTGCAGATCCCCTTTCTCTGGTTTCATTCTGAACACATTATTTCTTCCCACACGGGTGCAAAATAGCCCTTAAACTAGACTGTTATCTGGTAAGTACAATAACTTTTGTCCTATTCTTGCAACGAGCATCACAGACCTCTTATGTTACTATGAAAAAATCCTGCTTGTTGCTACTAAGTTTGGGAGCATGTATTGAGCTTTAGCATATAACAGATGGCAAGATGTCAGTACTCCTGCAGGAAGAGACAAAACCCAATTATAGTCAGATCAATAAAAAGGCTTTTGAAATACTCAGACAGTACACCAGTTATAAACAGAAATTCAACACTTGCCTGCTTTATACACATCTATACTGATTTGCTTAAATATGTATACAGAAACACTGAACACCTAGGTGGTTGAGCAGCAACAGCGGTAAGTTAGAAATAGTCTAAAAGCACGAGCTTCTTTTGACCACCCCAGACAGATCTGCATGTGCCACTGCTCCTGAGCTATGCGGTTGGACCACTAGAGGGGGAGCAGAGCCACAACACACATGTGGAATAGCTCATTTCTGATGCCTTCAGGAGTTTTGGCTGGTTTAGGGCCTGATTGAGGCTTCCAAAACTCATCTCAACTGGCTTTACACGATGCCCTTGAAACACAAATTTCTCCTTCATTCCTCTTTCTTCTCCAGAACTCACTAATGACAGCTAGATTTCTATATCAAGAAGAGAAAGAAAACAACACAAACTCACCTTTTTCAAGCAGTGGAATGAATTCTGATGCACACTGCTGGAAAACTCTGTGAGCATCCTCTGCCTTCATTGAGACTTCTTTAGTCTGTACCAGCTGAAAGCCTTTGCCAGTCATCTGTTAACAGAAGAAGAATTCATGTTAAAAATGCTTCTAAGGCAGAGAGTTCAGCCTGAATATCCAGATTACACTGGAATAGACCCATTTTCCCCATATACATTAAGCCACAGAGCAAAGGGACCCTTTTTGCTCTTTTCAAAGACCATTTGCTTTTTCTACATTTCTGTTTATTTTCATTCCATTCATCCAGATTTTCTCCTCTGCCCTAGTGCACCTAGAGGAGTAAATGTGAACGTTTTTGTTTTATATTATGGCCCAGGGTTGTGGGTTTTTTCCCCCACAATCCCTCACAAGCTGAAACTAATGGGAGTTAAAAGCATTCAGCATCTGGAGTCAAGCAGTTAGTTCTCATTAGTCTGCAATAGTTCAGTCAAGCATTAGCTCAAACTCTCATCTATCCACTGCTGAAGTTTTCCATTTTGGGACAAAAAAGTTACAAACTTTCGAACACACACAGCTTTTTACTTCAAATCTAGTATGAAACTAAAAGCGTGTGGAGAAGGAGCAACTGTATTTGTACTTCCAAAGCATCCATTCATCTACAGAGCAGTAAGATTTCCACAGAATCTCACTAACTAGTCTTTTAGCATCTTCTTAACTCTAATTTCTAAAGAACTACTAACACAGGAGAACACATCTATTATCCTCTTTACTGTAGCTATTCCTTCTGCAGAAAAAAACACCCCAATCCATAAGTATCATTATCTCCCTTCACTCAAGTAGCTGTTAGTAACTCAGTTCCATAAAAATTCAGCTGGGCAGTGGGGTGGGGGCATGGGAACACCCTACAGCTTTCTTTCCTTGCAATTAAAAATCCAAGGGAAGGAGGTACATTGGTTGTTTTCTTGATCATACAAACACCGGGATCAGCAGCTTTTGCAGATACCTCTCTCAGAAGCTGTAGCTCATGGTTACTGGCTCTGCTCTGTCATCCCTGGCACTCCAGGGCACTAAAAGCAGCCAGCCACTCCCAGATTTTAGCCCCAGGAAAGTCCAAACTCAGCCAAGCTTGGGAGCTGCTGCCTCACAGGAAAGAAAGAAAAAAAAAAAGACAGCACCAGCTATTTAAGTAATTGAAGACAGCTGACCAGCCGTGACAAACACTCACTGCCTCTTCCAGAAAAAAATTCCAATACTGGGTAGCAGGAGGGATAAGATTTAACGTGTCATTTTTTTTAAAGTCTCTGTTAGTACTGGAAAAACCTTCAGGACAGACAGTTTTGTTAGCTGTGACTCTCAGGGCAATAAGCTAACAAGTTAATTGGCTATATCCCTTTCACAAGCATTGCCAATCACTTACTCTACATTCGGCCAAGTTCATCAAATCAGCTATGCATTTTCTTCAGAACATAGCCATGCTGTGCCATGGTGGAAAAGTACACCGGAACTATTAGAAGATAGATGTGCCAGGCACAGGATGTCAGCTGTAAAACAACTGTCTGATCAGACGAACTCCAGCCTCTTACCTTGCTTTAAGGTTTTAAACAGTGCAGTTGCTTGGTATGGTTAGTAGACAAGCAGAGCCTCTGCGTTCTCCCTTCAGTGAGCACCGGAGGCTATCCAGAGGAAAGCCCAATTAGAAATTCAAAAAGCTGAACGCAGACAAAGGTCGCTTACCTCATCAATTAACTTCCTGGCGTTTGCAGTTGTGTAGTCACCGGCAAAAAACACGGCCAAACACGATTCATCGCTGCTTTTCTGTCTCTGCCCTCGAGTTACTGGTATTATGCTCCTCATAGCATCGGTAGAAATTCTGACAGCTTTCAGCTCTTCACAGCTGGGCAGAGGAACATAATCTTGGACTACAGCATTCTCAGGCAAAAGGCCCCAATTATTTTCTCCTGACACAGGGGTAAAGTCATGGATGTTGCTCCATGTGTTATTGAAGATACTCAGTCCAGCATCTTTAAATTGTAAAGCAAGTTCAGGGTAATAGTACTGGAAACATCCGAATTTCATACCTGTGGAGGACTCAATAATGGGCTGGGTGGCACAGCACAAGAATACCTCCAGCTTTCTGCAGTCCCGAGTGCGAAACTGTTGGCAGGCCACTACGCATTTACAGTCTTTGCAGTCACGGAAAAACACACTGCCTTTTATTGGTCCTAAAAAGATTCGGCAGTTTACACAATCATCAATAGTGATTGTAGCAGAATGGTCAAATATGTAGATACTGCAGTTCTCACAGTCCTGAATGATGAATTGTTGCCCTGCTACTTTTCCAGGCAGTCGACCTACAGTTTCGTCTTTAAGTCCAGAAAAAGTGTAATCTTTGGGGTCAACCTGAAGGAGGAAGAAAAAAAAAAAGAACAGGAAAGTCTTCACATACAGAGAATATTATAACACTAAATGTCAACTGACTTGCATTAATTGAGGTAGCACTGAATTGTACAGGATAACCTGCCAGAAAACTCTTCAAGAGTGATGAAAGATCCGAAGAAGCTCTTTTAGCTAAACTACTGGAATGCATAGTATTGAGGTACAACAAAGAATTGAAACTACACTTCTGAGATGCTCCAGGAATAAAGACCTAACTCAGTTTGTCCTCCAATAAAGAAAGAGGGCAGGGGGAGCTAGTTTTCTCTGCAGACTCTAAACTGTTTCAACAAGGATGATGGTCCTGGGTATTATCGTAATAACTGTAATAAATGAATTGCCCAACATACTTAAAGATTCATAAAGCTAGAGATACGCAGTATTTCCTTTTCAAGTAGCTTTCTTGGTCATATTTTACCACACCTCAACATGTTGCAAGGAAGCTTTGCTGCTTTCAAGCAGTATCTCCTTTATTACGTTTGCAAACTACAAAGAGCTTGCTTATCTGTGCCACAGCATTATCTTGTGCTAACAACTACAAGATTTTTGTGCTAACAGCAGCTACGTGATTGCTTTAGCCATGACAAACAAACATTGGCAGTGCTGGTGCAGGGGGCATGTTTACAGACCTCTCCTCCTCCACTCACCAGCATCCCTCCACGGGGGAGGGACACGTGAGTTAGGCTGTGGTTTTCCTCGGGACTCTCCATTAGGGAGCAGACACTGAAGAGCCGCACAGCACCCAGGAAGGTATGTGATACAGGTGGACAGCATGAATAATACAGCCGGTGCTGTCGTAACACCAAAGGAATCTGAGCTGGGTCATTTCTAGATACACATGAGTCAAGACAATTATGCTTCCCGGAGCAAATTCTACTCTGCCCTCTTGTGAAAGCTTATTAAAATAGCACTCAAAAGTATACAAGTACCTGAACTAGTCTAACACAAGACCGCTTCACAAACCTGCTATTGGATTATCAGCCTGAGGGCCCTAAAGCTTGCTGCACTGTAATCAATGTTAATGCATTACAACAGTTTCTGGATAGCCCAATTTGTAAGAAACTCCCCCTCCTCCTCTTCAGCATTTCAAACATTCACATGAGATTTAGAGACCAGAAAAAGGCATAAACCAGGATGGGCTAGCACCAGACATTCACTAAACCAGCTCAGCCTAGGTGGCTTTTGTCCAGAACAGCAATTGGGAGCTAGAAGTCTCTACCAACCGATAAAATGTACTCTTTCATAGACAACATATCTGACCTCTGGACAGGAAAGGAGGCTTGCAGCTGATGAATCTTCCAAATAAAATGCAAGTTGAGACAATGAAGATGGCTTCCTAGAAATCTCCCCTCAATCATATTTAATACCACTAGTACACATCCAGGAAAGCTAGCTGGAAGAGTTACAAATAAAATCGGGAGGCTCAAATGGTAAGGGGAACAGCATGATTAGGATTCAAATCCTCTAAGGTCTTAAGTCTCATGTAATGTTACATATTTGATCCATATACAAGATATTTATACTCATATTCTCTCATACTTGAGAATATAAGTATCAAAATTGCTTTTGGACACGTCCTTCCCAGGCATCTCCTAGAACATTTATGTATATATATTTTGGGGTTGTTTTTTTTTTTTTTAATAGCCTTGGGAGACAGGCTTACTGCCTTCAAAACAGGGTACAGAGGAACAGTTACTTCTCTTAGGAGGGAGAAGTTCAAAGTTTCCGGAACTTACAGCTTTTTTGAAAGTTGGCACCTAAGCGTGTCCTTCTAAATTGCTCTGCTCTAAAAAGCCTCTGAAGCAGCACTAGCTCATCCTACACAGTGGCCTTTACAGAGATGTGTGAAACTTCAACTTCACCTTGCAATTTTATTTAGGCCTAGGTGAAAAACACTGGTTAGTCAGCTAACCCACAGCTTACAGACAGTTTCAAATGAGAGCACTTGAGAAAGAGTAGTAGTTGAGTTTAAGGATAAAAAAAGTCAGCTTATTACCAGATTCAGGAGCCCAGTTTTATTTCCCAGACGTGAATTAAGAGTTCTGCACTGACACAACTCTTACTTCTCAGTTTGTTTACCACGCTAGGGAGTTTGCCAATTTAGTTTAATTTTGCTTTGCAGTTTCCCTTTTAAAGACCAAGAGTATTTATTGACTAACACTGCCGTACAGACTGGAGGGACTGAAATAGATTTAACACACTCTCCCCACACTGGGTTATTGCCCCAGTGAGGAGGTGGTAACCCAGGAGACTGTAGCAGATCTGCAAGTGTCACTTCCCTAGGGTAAAAGAAACATGCCAGAGAAAGGAGCGTGAAGCCAGAACTACGATTTTGAGGATGCATCCAACAGCTGCTAATACGCTCATCGTGGAGTTTCAGCTGCAGACTTCAGAGCTGGTAAGCATATCATCAACAGGTTAATATTAAATCACTGCGTCCACCTTCCTTCCCCCGACAGACAGCACTAACTGCTTCTTAAGCCCTGTCTCAGCAACATAGCAAAAAAGCAGGCTAGGAAAACCAAAAGCAACAGAAGAAGGTAACATCTGCAGCCTCATACAACCATAACCAGGACTATGTAGATTTCTCTGCCTGTTCATCTGGTGCAACTTTTGCTGTAAAATCTTAAGTATGTGGCAGGTCAGCAAAAATCAACTGTTTGATAACTCATCTTTTTATCCTTTGCATTTGGATAACGCTTCAAAGAACTTTGTCCAAATCCACCCATCTCACCCAGACAGATGCTTTACTCTCCATCCCTTAATACATTTTTAAATGTCTTTTTTTCTCCAGGCTGGTATAAGTCCAAATGATGACAGTATTTACAGAGGCAACTTTTAATGCTTTCAGCTGAATTTAAAGATTTTTTGGCGTAGATATGAGTCGTGCATTAATAGATATGGGCACAGCTCAAGAGTTGAAACCTTCTAACAGAAGTGCTACGCGCAGGTTCAGGAATTACTCCATATAGAGTGACCTAAAATAACCAGATATGATGACAAAAAAGTAATCCCTGCTTACACAATATTCTTCCCCCTCAACAGAGGTACAGAAGTCTCATCTTTGGTTATCAGTGATGACATTGGTGATAAGTCTGTTACAAAGGACTGGAGGACAAATTGTAAAGAGCAAGGATTTTAAAGAACAAAGAAAGAAGTGAAAGCAAACAAAAGCTTGTCATGGTTGCTTTGAATTCTAGGAAGTTCTGCTGCAACAAGCGCAAGGTGTATTAAGCAGCTTTCCTTCCTGCAAACACTTGTCTTGCAAGAAGGTCAGAGGCCAGATGTGAGGGCTGTAGATGATCTACATCTCTTCAGCCACCATTATCCAGTTTACTGGCGCCAAGACTAGGCAGCTCCCATTTGGAAGAAGACTTAGAAGTACTAGACCCTCACAGTTTTTAATGGTGACTGTGCCTAGAATCACCAAGGATCCCAACAGCTTCTTGAACTCTTTCTGGCATGAGTTCATGTCTTAACAAGAGTTTTTCACTGGGTCCATGAGGAAAGGAGTTTTAGTCAGCAGTGATATGGCACCACAAATATGAGAAGGTACTACTGTTCTTAATGGATTATGGTTCTCCCCTCGTTACCTGGGTCTAGCCTGCTGAGCAAACAATAAATTGTAGTCTTTCTAAACCACTTACACTAAGGTCTTCTCTTTTAAATATAATTCTCAAAAAATCATCCCCTCTCTCTCTAAATCACAACAGATGGTGGTTCAGCTATAGACTTATATACAGTCAATGAGATATAAGAGTTGGCTGCTGACCCACTGACTTTAAAAGCTGCAGCTATAGGGTAGGCACACAAACTTAAGAGGCTTTACATGCTATTTTGGTCAGTAGGGGAACTAACAGAAAGGAAATAAGCAAGAGAAGTGCATTCCCAAGCCTAGACACTTCTGCATATTCATACTTGCATGGGATTGGTGCCCTTGAGCACTGAGTTGCAACATCCTCTGGAGACTGTTGAAGTTACTCACCTCTGGCAGATTTCTAGATTCTTAGGCAACAAGAAAAGGTGGAAAGAGCGACAACATGTACAGGTTCCAGTCACTAGCATACAATTTTTCATCTTGGAGCATCTCCTGTCCACCTTGACTTTAAATGTGGCCAACAGTCTGAATGCACGTTTCACTCTATTCTTTGTAATCTTCCCCTTCTTCCAGAGTACCCGTAATAGCATAGAACGGCCATTCTCATACTTTTCTGAGCAACAAACCATTGCCAAATACTGCAGATAGGAGAAGAGGAAGAAGAAAGGAAGCTACTACACGCCTATATCTGACTTAACTGGAAATATTGTTTAATATGAACCTGCTGACTGTTTCTCAGTTGATAGACTACGTTTTGAGAAATACAGCAGTAGTTCTTCTGGTGCGCTGGGAAGCATAAGGGAGACGCACTGGATTTAAGGACAAAATATTTCACTGTCTAGTTCGAAAAAAAAAGAAAAAAATGAAAGTGATTTTATTTATATTCCAAAATAAAATATAAAGTGGCTACCTAAACGAGATCTAGATAGTTCAAGATGTCCACATCAGCTCAGACCATTCTAGCAGACTACCTATGATTTATGTACAAAGTTACACCTCCGAGTTTTTTTGAAACTGTTTGAAGACAGCCATCACAGCCCGATATAGCAATGATAGCTGCGTGTTTCCGATCAACTAAAGCAATTAACTTCCAAGTCAGCTGACATAAAACAAAACCTTACTTGTTCCTTCTAAAAGGAAAAATCATCTGGGAAGGAAAGTCCCTCTAAGCTTTAAATGCCATAGCGATCATAATTAATCTAATCCTACTTCTTTAAACATGAGACAACAGCAAAAGAGACAACGCAGATTTTGTGTTTCTTCTCCTGCAGAGAAGGTCACAGCACGTGGGTATATCTGCCATCACAAGACACAAAACCCCAGTTCCTGTCTATATGTAGCCATATTCAGTTACTGCTGTAGTTATCAC